CTGCTCTAATGCATTCTATACATAGCTTTACCAATGCAAATGACTGAAAATGTGTACTTGGTGGTCATTAACTCCTGTGACTAAGACTAAATATAGACCACAAAAGGGGGAGATGGACTAAAAATGTACAATCACTTTTTTCTTCTTTTTTAAGGTGCTATTTTGTTGCCGAGAGTTTTGTCAAAATGGAGAAATGGGCCGAAGCTCTTGTTCTATATGAGAGGACTTTAGCCCATATCAGTGCTGCCAGGAAAAGCCAACTGGATGTAAGATTCATTACTATTCGTTCAGTTTGAATAAATATTGTCATGTTAATCATTGAATTATACCTTGAATGGAGAATAACTACACATAGGCAGTAAATTATGTGATTAATATATATATATATAATTTTATTTTTATTATTATTTTTTTATTTCTTATTTTTTTTCAGGCTTCTGTAGAGAAGAATTTGGATAAATTGTCAGCATTGGTGGACAGTAAGAAATTCACTGCCCATGCTCAGGCCATCTTGGTATCTGAAACTGCAGTGCCTAATATTTCTAAACTCTCCCTTAAGGATAAGAAGGTATGTTCATTTAAAATGTCTTCAGAGGTTATCATTGTGCCTGTTATTTGAATGTTGGTATCATTTAAAAAATGTTATTATTGCTGTATTAACAATTATTTTGAAAACTTGTGTGTGAATTAAACAAGTTTTTTCTGTAATTTTTTAGTTCATTTTACCTGTTTTTCCATATTCCCAACTCAGGATAAACCTTCTGTGCCTTTTTAAATTTGTCCAAATAGCCTAACACTTCTTGTATGAGAAGTATTTCTCTCTAAATCCTACTAGCAAGTAGTACACAAACCAGCTTTCTAGAATGTGTTCAATCAACTTGCTGTGTTTATTTTTTGGTATTGTTTGAAATTATGAATAAGATAATGAACCAAAATGTAGAAGGTTACAGTAGCAGGATAAGGCCCAGCAGATTATACTTCTTACTTCCTGTCAGAGGATATGAATCTATTACTGCTATTTGGCTATTATTTAAGTTTCAACATGCAAAATAAACATGTTTAATAGCCCATATGATATTAAGTAAAATTTGCATTTCATTTTCCAGATGCTCATTAATCGCCTTGATGAATATGTAGAAGATCCAGGATTGATCTCCAACCATCCAAGCATAGCCCAAGTTCCACCACATATGTTGTCTGTGCCATGTAAACCTCTCTTCTTTGATTTAGCCTTGAACCACATTGACTTCCCCTCGCTCGACGACAAGATAGAAACTAAAAAGCAAGCACCGGCTGCAGCCAGTGGAGGTCTTACTGGCTTGGTCAAGGGGCTGTGGGGATGGGGCAGCAAGAAGTAGCCTTTCCTATTGTTTTGTTGTTCAGAGTATTTGAGAGATGTGAATGTTGATTCTTTTTTGTTTGTTTTTATTATTTTATTTTCAAGATAACAGAAAATATAGAAATGAAGTAATTTTCTTTACAGAGCTTTTGGTGTGAATGGTCAGAATATTTAGGCTAAATCTCTTGGACATAATGAAGAGGATTATTGGAAATGTGCCTTCAGCAAAATTCCTATTTGTTACAATTACCAGTAATAAAAGGTTTTTGGTTCAGCCTGCAATTTTTCTTGCATGAATTCCCAGGGTACTAAAATAAAGCTGAATAGGGGTACAGAATGAGGCCACAAATATTATGCATTTCTTGTTTTTATTTGTCGTATTAAGTTTAAAGTGGACAGTTTCATGTAAACATGCTGTAATTTATGTACAAATTCTGGTTTTATATACATATTTTATGTCATTATAGGCATGGCTATTCTCACATTACAAAGCCTTCAGAATATGGATATTCAGTTGTTCACTTCTTGAAGATAATTAAGTTATTAGCCAGAAAATACTATGTAGAAAGGAATAATATCTCCCAAGGCCATTTGTACACAAAATCTTATGTTAACATGAATACTGGACCTTTTTCATATAAAATACTTCTTGTTTTTTTTTTCTTTCATTTTCCAAACAAACTGTTAAATGATCTTGTATGGTAATAAGAGGAGGATGGCAAGGTAAAAGTTGGGTTATCTGCTAAGTCCATTTGAGTTTTTTCCTTAACTTGAATATTCACAGGAAACACATTCCAAGAGCAACAGTCAAGGCAGCACAAAATATGAATGATAGCTAAACATATGCCATATGTTGTACTCTTAGATGAAAATATAGCTAGTGTGCCAAAAACAATTATAATAGGATTCACAGAGATTATAAAACTTTTATGATAAAGCAAGGTTCTGTTCAGTGAAATTTGTAAAGTCAAGTGTTCCCCGGCCTGCATATATGTGGCCAGGCCTACCCCAGTCATTTTGAACTGCCTCAAATGGTCATCTCAGCTGAGTGCTTAACATCGTTGCTGGATTATTTCCAAGTGCTTAAGGCTCTTCGGAAGCGAGAGCGCCTAGGAGGAAGTTCATTTTATTCATGTATCAGGAAGTGAAGATGTATGGTAC